AAAAAAAGTTCAAAGTGAGTGTGAGGAAGGAAATAATAAAAATCAGAGCAGAGATAAATAAAATAGAGTCTAAAATAAAAGAAAAATAATAATAATAATAAAATAAACAGAAACTAAGAGCTGGTTCTTTGAAAAGAAAATTGATAATCTTTTAACCAGATTCATCAAGAGAAAAAGCGAGAGGACCCAAATAAATAAAATCAGAAATAAAAGGGGAAAAGTGAAAACTGACACTACAAAAATACAAAGGATTATAAGAAAATACTACCAAAAGTTATATGTCAGCAATTGGACAATCTGGAAAAAATGGATAAATTTTTAGAAACATACAATCTTCCAAACCTGAATTAAGAAGAAACAGAAAATCTGAACAGACCAACTACTACTAATAAAATTGAATCATTTATCAAAAAAACTCCCCACAAACAAAAGTCCTGAACCGAATGGCTTCACAGGTGAATTTTACCAAACATCTTAAAAATAAATAACACCTATTCTTAAACTATTTCAAAAAATTTAAAGGTGGTAAGGCTCTTAAGCTCATTTTATGAGGCCATTATTACCCCAATTTCAAAGCCAGACAAAGACATGGAAAAAAAATATAGGTAGATATTTCTGATAAACATAGATGCAAAAATCCTCAACAAAATATTTGCAAACAGAATTCAGCAATACATTTAAAAGATTATACACCATGATGAAGTGAGATTTATTCCTGGGATGCAAAGTTGTTTCAATATCTGCAAATCAATTAATGTAATATACCGCATAAACAAAATGAAAAATAAAAATCAAATGATCATATCAATAGATGCAGAAAAGGTATCTGACAAAATCCAGCGTCCATTTCTGAGTGGAAATAGAGGAAACATACTTCAACATAATAACAGCAAACCTACAGCTAACATCATACTCCATAAAATCATTTTCTTACAATCAAGGACAAGATAAGAATGTCCACTTTCATCACTTCTATTTAACATAGTATTGGAAGTCCTAGCCACAGCAGACAAGATAAAGAAATAAAAGGCATTGAAATTGAAAAAGGAAGAAGTAAAACTGTCATAATTTGCAGATGACATGATACAACATATAGAGAACCCTAAAGATTCCACCAAAAAAATTTAGGACTGATAAATGAATTCAGTAAAGTTATAGAATACAAAATTAATATTCAGCAATCAGTTGCATTTCTATATACAAATAACAAATTATCAAAAATAAAAATTAAGAAATCAACCTCATTTGCATTTACATCAAAAAAGTAAAATATCTAGATATAAATTTAATCAAAGAGGTATAAGACATAAGAAAGAAATTGAAAAAGCTATAAATAAGTGAAAACATAAACTGTGCTTACAGATAAGAATTAACACCATTAAAATGTCTATACTACCCAAAACAACCTAAAGATTCAATGCAATGCCTTGTAAAATATCATGGTATTTATCAGAGAATTAAAGTAGATAATTTTTAAATTTATACAAAGCCACAAAATACCCTAAATAGTGACAGCAATCTTCAGAAAAGAAGAATGAAGTTGGAGGCTATAGTAATCTAAACAGCATGGTAGTGGCACAAAAACAGTCACAGAGATCAATGAAACAAAACTAAAAGCCCAGTAATAAACCCATGCCTATATGGTCAAACAATCTATGACAAAGGAGGCAAGAATATACAATGGACTAAAGGCAGTCTATTCAATAAATGGTGTTGGGAAAACTGGACAGATAACATGCAAAAAAAAATTAAATTGGACCACCTTTTTACTTTATATACAATAATAAATTCAAAATTGATTGAAGACTTAAATGTAACACTGGAAGCTATAAAAATCCTAGAGGAAAACAGGAAGTAAACTCTGTGGTATTGCTCCTAGTAATGTTTTTTTCTGATATGTCACCTTGGGAAAGGGAAACAAACAAACAAAAAAATGGCATTACATCTAAGAGTATTTATATAACAAAAGAAACTATCAACAAAATGGAAAAAAAAAAACAACCTAATAAATGGGAGAAGACATTCACTAATGATATATCTGATAAGGGGTTAATATCTAAAATCTATGAAGAACTTAAGCAACTTAACACCAAAACAATTAGCGATCTTATTTAAAATGGGCACAATAGACATTTCTCCAAAGAGGACATACAGATGGCCAATAAACATATGAAGAGATACTCAACATCACTAATCATCAGAGAAATTCAAATTAAAACCACAGAGATATCACCTCATAATCAATCAATCAACAAACAAGTGTTGGTGAGGATGTTGAGAAAAGGGAATCCTTGTGCATTATTGGTGGGATTGCAAACTAATGCAGCCACTATAAAAAATAGAATGAAGTTTCCTCAAAAATTTAAAAATAAAACTACCTTTTGACCTTCTAGCAATTCCACTTCTAGGTTTTTATTTGAAAAAATTAAAAACACTAATTGGAAAAGATATGCATATCCCTGTGTTCACTGCAGAATTATTTGCATTATCCAAGATATGGAAGCAATCTATTTGATCATTAATAGACAACTAGGTAATAATAAAGTGGTACACATATAAAATGGAATATTACTCAGCCATTAAAAATAATGAAAGCTTACTATTTGTAACAACAGGGATGGACCTGGCAGGTATTATACTAAGTGAAGTAAGTCAGACAGAGGAAGACAAATTCCATATGATCTCACTTATATGTGGAATCTAAAGAACAAAATAAATGAAGAAACAAAACAGAAACAGACTCATAGATGCAGAGAACAAGCTGTTGGTTGCCAGATGGAAGCGGGGTTGGTGATAAGAGTGAAGAAGGTGAAAGGATTAGAAGGTACAAATTAGTAGCTGATGGGTAACTAATAACTAGTAAAGGTAATTAGCTGCATATAATGGACTTATCCTACTACACCAAACTGAAGTCTAAATACTATACTTAGTAGTCATTTCATTGCATTTATCTTTTTTGCTTCTGTTGTCAACTAAGGATTTGCTAGCACATTGAAGAACATTAGAAGAGGAGTAACTTATCAAATGTTATGCTGCTGTCAGCAACTAGTAGTTGAGGTTCCACATTAGCCAAAATATAGAACTGACAATATTAACATCATACACCAATATTGGGATATGAAAGATTGAGAAATCTATCAAAAGGTAAGAATTACAAATTTTAGACAGTAGTAATGCATTTCTTTATAGTAACTCTAAGAATCAGTTTAATGAACAATGGCACCAAGTAAATGATCAATCAGTGGTAATCAGAGGGGAAAAAAGAAAAAGCTATAGCAAGAGATGAACAGAAGGCAGTTCCAGAGATGGGTCTATATTTAGGGAAGAGGCAATGATGTAACATAGATTTGAGAATTATGAGGCAAGTTTAGTAAAAGGAGTAGATGAAGTTACCAAGATATATGTCTAAACTAATGGGAGACAAATGCAAGGCAAGACTATGTGTTAACAATGAAGCTTTACAGATATGCAGTAAGAAAGGAACCAGCGAAAGGACCTACGGCCAGAGTTTTCTCTTCACACAATCTACAGACTAGGAAGGGGTAGAAAGATTAGTCCAGAGACAACCATAAGACACAAATGGGTTATTCTCAGAGAGATTCAGACAGAAGGCTAATGAAAAAAGTTAAGAGAATATCATGAACAGATATATAAGGCAAAAAGGAAATATCTTGTTAAAAGATGAATGAGAGCACTAGAATATCAGATAGCAACATTCCTTGGAAGGCTTTGACTATCAAGCTAATGCTATTACGTTCTAAATTTAATAGGTACTGGAATGTAACAGGTTGTGGTAATTGTAATCCATAGTTGAAAATTAAATCTGGGTTTTCATTTCCATATAATTATTTTTTCACTTTGGTATTTGTTATTTTTCCTTTGCTTCCAGACTGGAATACTAGGTTCATAATTAATTCTAACCCAAATATTGTTATTGTGAATTCCATAGTAGAGTAGTGGAAATAATTCAGACTTTGAATATTGAAAAATATACATATTCATAAAAATAAAAGTAGTAAATCTTTCTGATGAGTTAAAAAAGCATAGTTAATATATTTCAGAATACTGAACATTTCCATCAAGCAAAAAAACCCATCTATTTAATACATAATAACATGAGAAAAACATGAATTATTTAAAAATAATTTTCTTTAGGGATTTCTATTCATATCCAAAAATGACATAAATAAGAAGATTGAGTCAGATTTTATAAGTATTAAAATTATTATTTAGAATGTGAAATCACCAACACAGTGACTTTTTTAGTTCCCAGAATGTCATTTTAACATGATATAGATGCAGTTCATAAGGAATTAAAACTAAGAAATGCAATTAGCTGTAATTTATTTTATTATACATTTCAGTGAAAATTAGCCATTAAAATCTTTAAGTAAATTTATTCTTCTGCCCATGAGGGACATTCCAAATAAACAGAAAAAGAAGGTGTTCTTTTTCTATTTTAGTTCTGCTAAATTTTCTCCCCTTTGCTTCTTAACAGTATTAATGTAGTTAGAGGTGGTTTATGTGATGAACTTGGGTTTACCTTTGCTTCAATCTGTTTAGTATCTGGATTCTGAAACAAAAATTTGATTTTGCTCTTGCCATCATCTGAAGAACCTTTAAGCTGAGAAAATTTGTACCTCCAAAGTACAGACTAAAGGAAAAAAAGAAACATGTGCAAGTCAGTACAATTAACATCTGCTTTAAAACCAAGATATAGTTCTAGCTTGAGAGAAAAGTTAATTATATTAAATTAGTACCATATCCCAATATTAAAAATAAATTAAAATAAATTTATCAAAGGCTAAAATTTAGTATTCAATATATATTTAATTTCTAGATAAGTTTTGTACCCATGAAATAATTATTTCAAAAGTATATATACAAATAAATTGGAACATTTTGTTTTATTTTATCATGAAATAAAGCAAGCTAACTTAAAGCATATGTCTAGAAAGTGAATAAGCAAAAAACACCTATTATTTGTTTCTTGTTTTCCATCACTAGAAGTAATAAGATAATTTAATTTATTTTTTTAATTTTTCAAATTAAATTTATCAGGGTGAAATTGGATAATAAAATTATGTAAGTTTTAAGTGTACAATGCTATCGAACTTCATATGTATACTGCAGTATGTGTTAAATTTCCTTTTGTTGCCATATATTTGACCAACTTTATTTTTTTTTTCAATTACTTTTGGCATTCAATAATAGTTTCGGTTGTACAGCATAGTGATTAGAGATCTATATAATTCACAAAAGGTTCACCCCACTAAACCTAGTACTCCTCAAATATTTATTTATTATATATTTATTGCATATTACATATTTATTGCATATTACATATTCATATTTTTATATTTTACATATTTATTACAACATTGCTTTCTTATGCTACAATTCATATCTCCATGTCTGTTTTGTAACTGTCCATTTGTACTTCTTAATCCCTTTGCCCTTTTTCACCATCCCCTCAATCTCACTCCCATTTTATAGCCCTTAAAATATTCTCTGTATCTATGAGTTTATTTCCATTCTTGTTGTTGTTGTTTATTTTGTTCTTTAGATTCCACATGTACGTGAAATCATGTGATATCTGTCTTTATCTGACTTACTCCATTCAACACAATACCCTTTAGGTCAATCCTGCAATATCATTTCTCATCCCTTCCTTTTAGTCTGTGTGTGTCTTTTAATCTGATGTTAGTCACTTATAGGCAGCATATGTAGGGGGCTTGTTTTCTTTTCCATTCAGCCACCACATATTTTGGTTGCAGCACTTAATTCATTTCCATTTGAGCTACGTGTTGATAGGAATGTAGTTATTACTATTCTTTATTATTGTTTTTAATACATTTTTTTTTCTTCTTAACAAAGTCCCTCCAACATTTTCTGTAACACTTGCTTGGCATTGATAAATTCTTTTTAGCTTATTTTTGTCTGAGAAGCTCTTTATCTGTCCTTCAACTCTAAATGATACTTTTCCTGGATAAAGTATCCTTGTTTGTAGATGCTAATTTTTCATCACATTAAATATTTTGTGCCAAGCCTTTCTGACCTGCATAGTTTCTTTTGAGGAATCAGCTGTCAGTCTTATGGGTGTTCTTTTGTAGGTAACGAATTGCTTTTCTGTTGCTGCTTTTAAGATTCTCTCTTTGTATTTACCTTTTGGCATTATAATGTGTCTTGGTGTGAGCCTCTTTGGGTTCATCATTTTTGGGACTCTTTGAGCTTCATTGGGTTGTATGTCTATTTCCTTCACCAGGTTATGGAAGTTTTCTATCATGATTTCTTCAAATAACTCTTCAGCTTCTTCTTCTCCTTCATACCCCTATGACACAGATAATTTTACATTTAGTTTTGTCCTATAGTCTCCCTAAATTATTATTATTGTCTTGGTTCTTTTTTCTTGCTGTTCTGATTGAGTGTCCTTGGCTTTCCCATCCTCTATATCGGTGATTCAATCCTCTTCTTTATCCACTCTGTTGATTCCCTCTAATATACTCTTCATCTCAGGCAATGTGTTCTTTAATTCAGATTGGTTTCCTTTTATAATTTCCATTTCCATTTTTATGTGTTTTTTTAATCTCTTTGTTAAAGTTCTCACTGAATTTATCTACACTTCCCCTAAGTTCATTGAGCATTTCCATTAGCAGTGTTTTGAACTCTGCATCTGTTATATTGCTTGACTCCATTATTTCTGGCTTTCTGTTCTGTTCTCTCATACGGTTTCTGCTTCTTTGTCTTCTCACGTTGGCTGCCTTTTTGTGTCTGCTTCTAGTACTAAGCCAAGCTCATAAGTCTCCAGTCTTATTTGCATGGCTTTGTGTAGTAGGTGTCCAGTAGCATCGTCCTGAGAAGGGTCCAGATGCAGGCCAAGTTTAGTCTCAATCTTTGCTACTCTGGGGCCACATGTCAAGATTCAGCAAGCAATCACTAGATGCTGTGCTTATAGTTGCCTCAAAAGACCACACTAGAAATTGAGGCCAGCTGCCACCAGTGTGAGTTGTGGAATTGGCTCAGCAAGGAGCACCAGACTCCCAAGGATGCAATTGGATGTGGCTTGGGCAGGGCTGCAAGTTGGGGGATGCACAGTTTCAGGGAATCCTCTGGGCAGAGCTACCTCTGTTATCCAGTTTGATGATGTCAGTTATGGCAGTGTTGTGTCAGCATTCTGGGAGGAGGGAGGCTTCAACAGAGGAGCAGTGAATACCACCAGCATTTCAGCCCATAGAGAACCTTGCCTCCGGTCCTCGCTCCAACAACTCGGAGTTCCTCTGTAAGTCCCTGTTGCTCCCTGTGCAGCTGACCAGGCACTGGTGCTCAGAGTGAGCAAGTCCATCACCGCAAAACTCCGGTTGCAGACTTAGCTCCTTTAAGATGTGTCTGCAGTTGCCGGCTGCTGCTGCCGCAGCCTCTGTCTCACTCAGCCAGTTGAGACTGGGCAGCCTCACATCATCGCCCCCTCTTACCTCCAATTGTTGCAGGGTGATTTCTCATTTTTCTCCCTAGTTATAGTGCTTCTGTTCACCTAGATCCCAGGAGACTCTGCTTGTTCTTGCTCCATGTTTCCATCACAACTTTGATTTGGTCACAAGAAGGATGAACAAAGTCTCTATTTTCAATGCCACTTTTTTCTTCCCCCAACCCTCTCTATTCTTATCCATCTTCCCTTTCCTCACATTCCCTCTAGTAACCACTAATCCACAGTCCAAGTCCATGAGTCTCTGTTTGTCACGTTTATATGTTGCTTTCAGTTTTATATCCCACATGTCAATGAAATCATATGGTTCTCAACTTTTTCTGTCTCACTTATTTTGTTTACCATGATAATCTCAAGATCCATCCATGCAAATGGCAGTGCTTTGTCTTATGGCTGAGTAATAATCCATTGTATAAATGTATCACATCTTCTTTATCCAATCTACTATCAAAAGACACTTTGGTTGTTTCCATGTCTTGGCCACCATGAATAATGCTGCTATGAACATCAGAGTGAATATATCTTTATAGATAAATGTTTTCAAATGTTTTAGATAGATATCCAGAAGAAGGATTGCTAGGTCATGAGGTAATTCTGTTCTTAGTGTTTGAGAAAACTCCATACTGTTTTTCATAGTGGTTATACCAATTTACATTTCTACCAGCAATGTATGGGGGTTCTTTTACCCTCACAACCTCTCCAACACTTATTATTAATTGTGTTGTTGATTATAGCTGTTCTAACAATTGTGAGATAGTATTTCATTGTGGTTTGATTTACATTTCTCTAATAGCTAGTAAAGTTGAGCATTTTTGTTGGAAAAATGAGTTTGTATGATGCTACACTAAAGCTTAGAAAAAAATATGTAACTTTTTTGTTTTCAATTTTTTTTATTCTGATGTAGTTCATATACAATAGTATAGTTTCTAATTACATACATGGAATGAGATTAGGAGGATTTTAAAGACCAGAAACCCCTTGTTCCTAATCACTTATTTTTGGTGTCTTCTTGATCATAAGCTGGCCTAAATTCCATTAACAGTAAATTATAATGCATATATTTCAGGAAAGCTAATTCATTTTTTTAAATATACTGAAATAAAAACAAATGCTGATCATAGAGCTATAAGTATTAAAATATAAGCCAAACTTTATATCCTATTCAGAAGCCACATGACTTTGGGAAAGATTCTTCATTGACTTGAGCCTAGTATATTCTAGTATAAATCAACTCACAAATATGTCCACATAGAGGGCAGTCTGTTCTGGGTACCTAAGGTAGGACAAAAAAGGCTAAGCTTCGTTTACAGATGGACAGATTCATCATGTCCTTGAACCAGTTTGTGTACCAACTTGCTTGTTGAAACCTGTCCCCAGCATCTGAGTAGAGTGAAGCTGTTAGGAAGCCTGTCAAAGTGTCAGTGGGAGAAAGGGGAAATTATAGGTGGTATGTATAACAAAGATGCACAGGAAACAAAGGACAAGCGGAAGTTCTGTAGAGTTTATAAATGGCAATCTGAATACTTTTATGATAGAGGTCTTGATTATTATATGATTAAGATAAAAACTATTTTATAGTTTGGTATATTTTAAATTTTGCATTGCATTCTTTCAACAAGTTAAAAATGAAAGTAAGTGGACAAGGTGCAGCTTTGTAAATAAGCATCTTCATGCATCAAGCTTTGTATTGGGTGGCCAGCATTTACATCATACCAGAATATTCTCCTGGTCAGCACAAATGGAACATGTAGAGTCCTTGCTGATAAAATTAAGTGCATTTGGACAAAAGGTGCTAAAGACAGCTTGTTTCTTCAGGTCTCTTGTGGTGAAGTGAGAAGTATTTAATATTTCTGTGTCCTTGAACCAGTTTGTGTACCAACTTGCTTGTTGAAACCTGTCCCCAGCATCTGAGTAGAGTGAAGCTGTTAGGAAGCCTGTCAAAGTGTCAGTGGGAGAAAGGGGAAATTATAGGTGGTATGTATAACAAAGATGCACAGGAAACAAAGGACAAGAGGAAGTTCTGTAGGGTTTATAAATGGCAATCTGAATACTTTTATGATAGAGGTCTTGATTATTATATGATTAAGATAAAAACTATTTTATAGTTTGGTATATTTTAAATTTTGCATTGCATTCTTTCAACAAGTTAAAAATGAAAGTAAGTAAATAAT